TGATTCAATGCTATGTACTCATCAATGAATGATTTGTATTCATGAAATAAACTCTGATTTTTCTCAAACCTTTTTTCTAGGAGAAAAAATCGTCTTTTGGCTTGCGCAAAGCTATCGCCAAGTTTTAGGTGCTCGTTGGGACTCTTGAGAGGAAGATTAACTTGGAATTGACCATTGGGAAGTCTTAGGGTTGTGTCTTTAAATATTTGCTCACAAAGTTGATTCTCCGGAGAAGGAATAGATTTTGTATCAATTTCCTCTAGTGACCAAAATCTTTCCAAAATATCACTAGTTTGAGAAATACGAGAAAGCATACTGACATTGTTAGAAACTACAGAGATAAACGATAATGTTTGAGAAGGATTTTGGATTAGACCAATTTTTCCCCCGACTATGAAGCCTAAATGAGTATTAAATAGGGTAGGTCTGTCTTTGCCCAAATGAATCATACCTGGAACTAATAGATCGTAATAGATATCTGCTCCACAGAGCATGTCAATTTTTGCGCTGCGATAAAAGCGAGGATCCGCAAGGGTAATGTCATTAGGAATTCCGAGGTGTTCAACGCTGAGTGTCACTTGTGGAAGATTGATGGTTATATTGTCCAAGATTGCACAGGATATTTGAAATTGTTTTTGTGGATTCGAGTGAGAGTGAAAGTTTATGTTGATCATTTGTGTGGAGCTGATCGAACTGTCAGAAACTCCGGAGATTTGTAAGGACTTGAAAAATGTTTTTAAGCCTAGTTTTTGAACCAATTCCTTGGTGCAGAATGATGTTTGAGATCCACTGTCTAAGAGACACCTTGCCTGGATAGGCTCTCCACAATAGCTATAAATTGTGACAATTGCTGTTGACAAAAGAACATGATCCTGTTGTTTTGAAAATGCTGAAAAGCTAGTGGTATTTTCGAAACTGGTGTTGTAATCAGGGTTTTTATTACTATCTGAGACCAACATGGAATTTTGATTCTTGCGATTTTCAACGTCACTACGAGGTTGATCGCCAGATTGTGATCTATTTTGGTTGCTGCAATGAGCCGAGGTACTGTCATCATTACGAGAACTCTCCAATGTGCGCGTATTTTCGTTGTTTGAGCGAGAATTTGAATTATTACTTCCGAAACGATTATTATTATTGTTATTAAAATTTCTCTCCGAATATCTTCGATGAGAATTTTGAAAATTTGAAGAAACCTGACAACCATGTAACATTGTGTGATGTGATGCCCCACATACAATGCACCGATGTTTTGATTGGCAATTGTTAATATTGTGATTGTTTAAACAATTTTGACAAAGATTGTTATTAAGTACAAATTGAATTTTATTATTATTTGAAGTACCTTTAAATTTTAGACACCTATAAATGTTGTGATTGTCCAATTTGCAGTAGGTACATTTTTGAGTAATGTGCGTCATTGGTTTATTGAGAAACTTTGAGTTGAGGAGAAACTTGTTGAAGACCTTGTAATAATTTTACCTGCGTATTAATTAACGATATGGCGTCTAAAATCAAACCTTCTATGTCTTCATCATCAAGGTCTTGCATGGGCGTGTCTTCAGTTTGAGAGGTAACAATTTCCTCTTGAATAGAGTTAAATGTTTGCAAAATATCTTTTAAAGCAGTTTTACGAGTGCTAAGCTTTTCAATATCAAGTAAATTGTCATTAAATTTTAACCAATTTATAATTCTTGTAAGACGGCCTTTGCAATGACCTTTTTTGCGTATAAGTGTTTCCATTTTTACTAAAATACTTGCTAATAACTATCAAAAGTTAACTTATTAACAAAAATTTGAAATTATAAAATAATATAATAGGAAAAATTTATATTATTAAGTTTTAACTAGAAAATAGCGACACTTTATTTTAATTGTTTTTTGAAAGAAACACTTTTGTCTAAAACAAATTGGTATAGTACCTAATTGAGTCTCGAATTGAGTCTTTGCTGCAAGAACGTAGCACTCGTAGGTATTGCACAAGTAAAGTTCAAAGTAAAATTGGAATTTTCTCACCCAATTTTCCAGCTCTTCGAAGATTTCCAGCTCTTCGAAGATTTCCAAATTGTACGATGAAGATTTCCAATGTGGAGGTTCAAATCCGGATCGAAGCTGACCATTAAATGTTGTGGTTTCCAACATTTATTTATTTTTCAAGTGTAGAATCTGTGGTAGAATGCTGCCAATGCCGTGCTAATTCTTGTTCGTATATCCAGGTTCAAGCAAACACGATGGTTTGATTATGAAAAGTTATTTTATTTTAATTTGAACGAAAAACGACTATTTACAACTATTTACAGAAAACAGGTAACAAATTCTGAAGAACATTGCATATTTAAATAAGTATATGGAACGTTCACTTTAACGCAAATAATTGGTTAATTAACAGCAATTAAACAATAGAAAACTGAAGAGAAAGAAAAGGTTGATTTCAGGCGCACGATCGGGCCATTTGGAGAAAAGAAAAAAGCGGTACAAAATAACCCTTGCAATTCGTTACGATCTCTGACTAGAAATGAGAACTCAAGGCAAACAAAAACTTCGACTTCGTAGGTACTCTCCACCTCCAGTCTTGACCTACTTTTGCGATGCGCTTGGGCATACGCACGTTCCCTTGAAAATCGGGTAGAAACGTAGAAACAGCAGATTATAGTAGGAATAAAAATATAAAGAAATTTAACTTTAAATGCAGCGGCGGCGGCAGCGGGTTGAAATGAAATTTCAACAAACTTCAATTTCAAGTATTTTTAATAAGGGGAGGTAAGTATCGCTTTTACTCCCACTAAAACAATAGTCTATTTCCATTTTGTTACGGATGAAAATGATAAGACGAAAATCTAAGGCCATAAAGAACTCGATGAGACCTTTAAAAAGAGGTAGGACACGACCCCTGTCCCCTATTCAAATTTGGAAGGTTGTTCCCCCCCAGCTAGGGGGTTAAAACTACGGGGGTTAAAACTACGGCGGTTAAAAAAACTGGTTCCCCCTCAAATCAAAAATCGACGTGTCCGAGCGGTTTTTCAGATTCTCGTTCCAAATCCAATAAATCGAGATGAACTGTTCTCCCTGGGGCACCCTGTGTAAAAGAATTGAATAAATTTTTTGAAATAAATGCTCCAAAAAAATTGTTTTCTTTTTTTCCAAACGGGCGGGGGGCGCTGCGTTTTTGTAACACCGGGCGGCAAACTACCTTAAACCGGCACTGTATATTGTAAGTAGCCAAGTTACTCAGTAGCTCAACTACCTCTTTGAAAAAGTAGCTAAGCTATCAGTAGCTTAACTACATTTTGAATTTTTGAAAGCTACTATTTAAGCTACTTTTTTGAAAGTTAAATTGATAAAACCAAAAAAGCGTGCACAATCGCCACCATCAATGTACATACCTTACCTAATTTAATTTCATATCATCATACGAAAATAACATATTAACTTTCTCTAAGAAGTATTCATATTTTTGTCAAAAACCACTGGACATTAATTTATTAGGTTCACTTTGATCACAGTGATCTGCGAATGCGAGAATAATAGGACACATAAAACATAGGTATCTACAGAGATAACTAGAAACTAGTCTAAGCAAGCAGGCAGGATAAGAATTTTCTGGAAAATAATAATTGTAGCTTGGGCAATTAAAGTATAAAGTTACTTTTATCGAGCGGTAAATTCAAACGCGGGCGATAGGTTGGTGGAAACGTGCCTTTATAAGGGGAAAACTGTTTATTTTTGAAAACACTGTCGAATGGATGCCATTATATTATAGGTATAGTTATTTCATTTTTGAACTAGAAGAGTCCGCTGCGCATAAAACGTAATAAGTATTTTGGGCGTTAAGTATCATTAACCACGCCCTCAGGCGGTAAATGATACTTGAAACACATTACCAAAAGCTACAGCTACAAGCTACTTTTTTTTCAAAGTAGCTTGAATAAGTTATTAGCTACCAAAAAAGTAGCTAAGCTAGTAGCTTAACTACTTGGTAGCTAGCTACTGCCCAGCTCTGATAGTTACCTACCAAATTTTTGACTTGGGGAATTATCTTTAAATAAAAAACATACTTTACTATATCTTTTTGGTTAAATGGTTAAAGCCATGTCAAATTTTTTTCAAATATTTGTATATTTTTTGAAAAATGCTGTGAAAAATTTGTAAATTTGGTTCGAATTTGTATGCAACTGATTGCTCTTTTTCTAAAAGTCTTGTATGTAGAACAAAAGCAGTGCTCTATACTAAATTCTCAACTTTTAAGACACTCCGTAGAAAAAGTTTTGTTCCTACCACTTGCGCAAAGTGTCTTTCCCGTACTTAAGGGTTATCCGAACTCCGTTTTGCGTTGTTCGTCTAACTGCTTTTTCGTGCGGAAAAGTATCACTTTGCGCACGTGTCAGGAAAATAACTATCATTTGTTTTTATTGTTACGTTGGGCCCCCCCAAGATGAAAATCGTAAATACGCCACTGATGGACACGCGTTCAGTTAACTAATTCTTGGCACACTGGCGTGCAATATATCACTGCTCTTTTAATCGGTGGCCAACTCCGTTTTATAGCATGTCGTTGCTTCTAGAATTGTCTAGATCATGGACTTTTGTTAGTCTGGATTTCGCTGGACTATACCGCACGATAAAACTTTATTCGCGAACTTTCTATTCATAAGGCAGTGCTGCAAGATTATGCACAATTTATTCAACTTGTGAGATTCATAACAAACCTATAGTCATAACAAAGAAAATTACCCCCTTCAATTTGATCTGGTTTGCTGATGAGAAATTTTTGTATCAATTTATTATTTCAGGGTAACTTAATATAGGTAATATTTATGTGTGAATAGCGATAGGAGACAAACAATTGTTTTAGATATTGAAAAAAAAACACTTAGTTAGAATTTAATTTATTAAACTTGTTAATGCATATGTATAATTATTTTAAAATAGCATTAAAATAGGCATATTAACGCCTCCCGATTCATACACCCCACACCCCATATAATTCCAAGTCTGCTAATAGAAAGTTTGATCGATACCTACAAAAATTCCAACCCAACATGCAACAAAATACAAAATTTACCTGTGATAATCCCAATCAACTGACATTCATGTGACAATCACAAAGCAATTTTTATAGCAGTTTATTTAGTAGAATATTTCAAGATGAATGATAGCGATTTTAGTGATAACCAAGAGGAAGGCGACGAGGGTCACGATGAAGTTTTGGATCCAGATAATCCAGAACATGCTTTTGCTATTATTGAAAAGAATTACATGAAGGTAACAGAGAAATTTGTATAATCATATCTATAGTTTTTCAAATTAAACATATTTTTTCCAGACAATTATCGAATTAGAAAATAGGAAAGATGCCGCCCAATTCGCGGACGATTTCAACAAATTGTTCGACGCCTATTACAACACTTACATCATCCACAAAGAAACCGAAACGCAATACGATTGTTTGGAAAAAGATTTGGATGAAAAACGAGCCAAGCTCGAAGTGGCCATTAAAGTTACCGAAGCTGATAAAACTACCATCCATACGCTCAAAGTGGAAATTGAAAAAGCTTGGGAACTGGCCGATGCAGCTCACGCTCGCGAGCAACTCGCTCAGGAGATTATCGATAATTTGAGGGCGCAAGTGGAGAATTTGAATGCCGAAATTGAGTTTAAAAATAAGATGAACCAGGATACAGATGAGTAATTATTTCACGGGCTTAATATGAGGACACAATTTATACATAATTGATTTTTAGCGTAGGAGATTTAAGTAAACACAAAGATGGTTTAGAAAGAGAACGCGATAAACTGATGAATGAAGTAACTCAATTAACAACTAAATTAGTAAATGCCATTGGCTATCAGGAAGAATTAGAAAAGAAAACTTCAATGGCGGATATAAAGATTAATGAATTGACTAATCAATTAGAGGTAAGACTTTATTTTAGCATCCTAATGATTTTGAAAAATGAGTAAAACCCATTTATTTTCCATTCAGGATCATGCAGCAGATATGCTCAGAGAACGACGTGCCAAAGAAGAACTAGTGAATGATTTAGCGGAAGAACGAAAGAAAATCGAGGACAGAGATCTAGAGATTCGTAATACCAGAGAGAACGTTGTTGAACAAGGAAAGAGAATAGCGAAACTTGAAATAGATGTTAGAGATCACAGATACATCATTGATAGACTCAATAAGGAAAACGAGGTGGCTACAAATAAAGTAGCAAAACTCCAAGATGATTACAATACGACTGCTTTTGATCTAGAAAAAACCAAATCTATGTTTCAAAAAAAACAGACGGATCTTAAGGTAAATTGTTGTCTTTTTATTTACATTAAAGAAATAGTTTCCATTAATCTCATCTGGTCTGGCAGAAAGTGATATTTTTTTGCTTCATTTGTACTTTTTCTTCCTTAAGAAAAGAGTAATTTTTCTCATGTTTCATGTTTTGTATCTATGATCTGACAATAATCTGGATGTTCCACCTTTTCCCATGTCTCATTAATTTCAATCGATTTTAACTCTTTATCTACAGCATCTAGCCATTTTTCCTTATCTAGTCTATTTTTTAGTTCCCATCTCTATTGGTTTATTTATTGTGTCTATCTAACCAAACCTTTCTGTCAAACCTTCTTTCCTCTTATACCTTAATACTCAAACTCACTCTTATTAAATTTCACTTGCAATAATCATTTTTTCTTTTTCTACATCCCATAATCTATAACCTGTCTGAGCATACCCTATTATGCAGTTCTTAACTTTCGAATCAGTTTCACCTCGACATTCTTTTGGTATATGACTGTAGCATGTGCAACCAAAAACTCTAAAATTGCTCCTGATGGGGTTTTGTCTAATCCGGAAGATGTCCCTCTATTCATGAGTAGTTAATTGTCAAAATCGCTTCTTCCTAGTACTTCCTTGGATATTCCATATATTCCACCAATATTTCTCTAGCCCTTTCTACTAAGCTTCTATTCTTTCTCTCTGCCTTGTCATTCTGTTCAGAAGTATATGCTACAGTGTAATCTAAAACATAGGTAACCGTTTCTGGCACAGTAATTTTTGAACTCCTTCGAAACATATTCTCCGCCGTAGGTGATCACATCTTGTTGCTATTTTTTTATTTAATCTTGGCTCCAGGGGCGCCGACTACGTGGGTGCTCGAGGGCTCGAGCACCCACAAGACGTAAACAGTGGGTTCGGAGCAACCACGTGCATAGACTGATAATCCTCTCTAGTTCCTGGAAAACTGGTTAATTTTGTTCCTCGGGTTCCTGAAATCTGGTTAACCAAATGTCAAAATAGTTACCGGCCATCGGATGTCGGTTCTGTTGGTTTTATCTGTAACTTCTGTCAATTATGTTTTATTTCCATATTTGCGTTCCCCAAGTAACCGGAATTTACAGTAACCATCTGAGTCCTTATTCTTGAAACAGGGGAGCAACGTTCCCAGGAGAACGAGTGTTCCGTCTTTCTTAATGATATGCAATTGATAATATGAGTAACAAAGACGGAACACTCGTTCTACTGGGAACGCTGCTCCCCTGTTTCAAGAATAAGGACCCTGTCGATCGATTCGGTTACTTTTAGCTGTTCCAACAGACATGAGAACCTTTCTAGAACGGTTATTTCCAGTCGTCCACTGGAAATTATTGGTTAGAACGGTTCTCATGGCTGTTGAAACAAAGCTAAGGGTTAACGTTTGGTTATATTTGAACCATAGCCTTATATAGGCTATGTTCCGATATCAACTGTCAGTACTGAATTTACTGGACGCCGTTCCGATATTATTTTCAGTACACTGGATTCAGTCGATTCAGTACTGAATGACCACAAGAGTACGGTGTTGAAATCGGAACGGCAAATGACAGTAAAATCAGCACAGTAAATCCAGTACTGGCAGTTGACATCAGAACATGGTGGTACTTTGTTCAGAAAAAGCAGATAAAGAAAATCAGAAATCTTTTATGGAGAACAGCGTAAAACGTAGATTTTCGGTACATGCTGCTTGGGAAAGAATATCTGCAGGAGAGTTTTCCACACTTTACCCTCATAGCCGTCCTTTCTTCCAATTTTAGCAGACACCGCACATATTACGCAAACACCAAGAGACACTTGTTCCGGCAGCTGGAAAACGAATATGGAAAGGTATGAACTACGTTGTTTGAAATGTATTACTTACCGGTCGAAGGTATTACGATTCTCTTCTCAGACACTCGTCTAAATGTAAATTAAAGAATGCTGGTAAAAGTCCCAAATGCTGGTGCATGAGCATCAGCACCCACGAGGTTTTCTGAAACCCGGCGCCCCTGCTTGGCTCAGCCATACTTGCAAACTCTTTACATTTTTTCTCCTTGTTACCTCTTTTCTTTTCTTTTATTAAATAAACTACACAAGAGTTTGAATAATTATCGATAAATGTTACAAAGTATCCACTAAGATCATAATTTGATGGTAAGATATAGGTCCATAAACCATCGGAATGTATTATCTGTAGTATTCGTTTACTTTTGGTTCTTTCTCTAAATGGAAATCTATACTCATTTTTCCATTCACACATGGCTCGCAAAACTCTACATTCTGTACTTTAATATCCTCTAACCTCTAACCCTTCAACCATTCTCTTTTTGATTATTGCTCTTAATCCTGAAAATCCTATATGCCCATATGTCTTGTGCCATTTTACATAATCATTTTCGCTACGTTTTTAATTGTACAATCAACTTTCTTATGTCCTTAAGGACCAAATTATGGACTAACTGGTAAACGTCTAGTTGTTACCTAGCAGGTACTTTCTATGCACTGGAAAATTGAACTATCCAAGATGCTGTCAAACTTGAATTAAAATGGCCGCCAAGAGGCACAACAAACCCTTTTTTTTATGTGTCATTCAATGTGTCATGAAATTTTGTTCAAAAAAATAGTGCTCATTGTTCATTTGCGTTTTGATACTCAAAACTGTTGTTTTTACTCGTATTTTTATTAATGTTAGAAATAGTGTATTTATAAGTAGTGGTTAATAGTTCGTTAAATAGTAGTAAATAGTTCTTAGTTCTTAAAACATGCCTACAACGTGCTGTATTATGAATTGTGGAAGTCGTGGAGATCGAGACTAAAGTTTTTTCAAATTCCAAGTGTGCTGAACTTTATACATAGAAAGGACCTGAATGATATTTCCCATGCTCAACCTCTCATTGTAATAAATCTTCCTGGCCTGTTTCATTGTCTTTCTGTAGATGCTCCTGTATCCATTATTTAAAGTAGGTCATAAAAAATATATTATCAATATCAAGAGCAAACTTTCTTAAGGAATGAAGACACCTACATTTTCTAGAAGCAATTCTTAAACCTTTTGTGATACAAGGCTTTTTCTTTTTCGATTTTAACTTGACTAACGGAAATCCATGGTTAAAAATTTCAATATTTTCACAATGAAATGAATGCAGAGCATTTACCTTCAGCAAAATCGTTCTTCAATCAAATCTAGAGCAAACTTGTGAAAAAACAATACAAATCAAAGCACAACACTGGACGGTGGAGTTGTAACAAATAAATATTTTCACATTTTAAGGGTAGGTCCTGCGTGTCCAAGTGGAATGCAGGTAGAGCAATCTTGACCAAAAAATAGGGATTCCGTAATTGGGTAGAAACGGCCAAAAATTGAGACGCACACAATAGAAAATGAGTATTTGATTATGATCATTAATAACATAACCTAATGACGTTATGGTTTGTGTTTGTGTCAAATGTTTGTGTGCCTCTTGTCGGCCATATTTGTGTCACGTGTTTTGGATAGTCTAATAGAAAGTACCTGCTAGGTAACAACCAGACACTTACCAGTTGGTCCATAATTTGGCCCTAAGAGTAATTTACATCCACTAACTTAATGTATGGAAAATTATAATTAACGTAGGTACAAAACCGAGAAGTAGTGTGCACAGTGGTTGCGTTCCTAAGGACTCAACATGTTGAGTGATTAGTCAGCGGCTATGTTGAAAACAGATGAAAATCAGCTCTAGGCCAATCAAAACTTTTCTACCTTGTGCATTTCAATAGCTGGAACAAAGCCGCTTACTAATCACTCAACATGTTGAGTGCTTAGGAACGCGACCAATGAAGTCAATTTTCCTACGTGTAATTACCAATGACATTGATAATCACAGACTAAACTGTATTTTTTACCAAGATAGATTTTAACATTGTCATCTTTGAAACATAAACAATGCCCCTTATTAGTCGCAAGACGCGACGCAAGATGTGATTTGCACGACATGCATTATGAAACTGCTGTCAACCTGCAGTGACCCTCATTTTGCGACCAATCCAGGGTCAAGCGGTATTGTTTATGTTTCAATGTCAAAATCCACCATACAAATGTCAGTGTCACTGCAGATGGCCTCTTGCAACTCGAAGAGCGAGCAACTTTCTGTCTTGGTAAAGCCCAAAACTGGTTTAACAGTAATTTATTGCTGTTAAACACAGATAAAACCATTTTTATTAGTTTTCATACCCTTCAGTCAGCTAATAACCATCCGACAGGTTTAAATATTTCTTTCCAAAATGTAAGGCTTTCAGATAGTGTGAAATTTCTGGGAATAGAAATAGATCACCACCTAAAATGGAACAAACAAAATCAAGCTCTTTCTAAAAAACTTAGTAGCACCTGTTATTCTTTCCGTGTTCTAAAACAATTCCTAGACAGAAAATCGCTATTATCTGTCTACTATGCCACTTTCTATTCTTTTGCACGCTATGGAATAATATTCTGGGGTAGAGCAGGATGCGAAGGAGATGCATTTGTTATGCAAAAATGTGTGCTGAGACAAATTCTTAACTTGTCTTACAGAGAGTCTTGCCGAGGACAGTTCAAAGAAACAAATATTCTTACACTACCAGGTATCTATATCTATGAATGTCTTATGTTCCTACATAAAAACTTTGATAAGTTTCTCAACTATCTCCCAGAACACAAACATAACACCAGGTCAATTGTCTTAAACTATCCAGTGCACAGGCTCGCTCTCACTGAGACTGGACCCACCTACATGTGTATAAAACTCTTCAACTTTCTTCCCCAAAAATTAAAATTAAAAATAACAGAAAACTGTTTTAAAAAAGTTTTATTTCAGCGTCTTGTTTCCAAGGGCGGTTTAAAGGGGGGGGTAGAGGGGGTAATTACCCCCCCCAGACAGAGATTTTTTTTATACATTTTTTAATTACAACAAAATTTCAACAAAAGACAAGTTCTACATTTTACATGGTAAAGGATTAAAGGCATCCTATGAATATGATAGGCTCACCAGTACCGA